AAGCCATAAAGCAATGCATGTAGTTAATTCGAAAGCATAAAAAAGCTAATGGACTATTAGAGTCTACTGCCTGGGGCTGGCTTTTCTCCTGGCAGAAGAAGTACATCAATCACTTCTATCAGTAATCCCCTGCAAGCTGCCGGCAGTGTCTGTGCCTCCTGCCGAAGAAATTGTGCCTCGGCAGGAGCAGCATCAGATGTGGCTCAGGTTGACATCTTAACAGATAAACTGGCCCCACTTTACTACCACTGTCACTACATTCTGCCCTCGGTCTTTGGAGATATTGATGGGCGGCAGCAGTCGAGGAGACAAAAGCACTGACGGAGGAGACGCCTGAGGAGTGGAGCTAAGCTGCTACGTGTTTGTTTGTTCTTTCTTTCTTGTGCTCATACCTGGAGGACGCATGATAAGATGGGACACAGATGAGAGGACATTCAGGATTGTGCTTTCGCTGTAGGGGACTTGAGGCTCGTAGTTGTAAGAACAGTGACTTTTGTTGAAGTTTTCAACTCATTCTGTTTGTAGCTCAAAAACCTCATTCACACCAACGCAACTCCGGTTCAAGCTCCGTGCTAGAGCTTTTCAGGTTCAGAACCGGTTCTTCGGTTTAGCTCCGGCTCTTTTCACACTGCCCAGAGTCCAGACTGGTGCTGCGTCATTGCGTCATCGTGTCATCGTTTGCGTCATGACGTAACTGTTTGCGTGCCTGCTTCATAAAGCCAAACCGCACGGAAACCCCTCACAGCTCACACCGACAACAACAATAATGGCCGATTGTGCTCCAGCTTCCTCTGTACCTCTTCGGAAGACCAGATTCCCAGTAGGTAGCTGGTCTCTTCAGTGGACCACTGCTGCTTGTTAAGTTTCTCCATCGTTGTGTACAAACTGGATAAAACGCCGGCTTGTTGTTGTTGTTCAGGAGTTGATCCCGCCCCTGCCCCCGCCCCCGCCTCGACGTAAGCGTGACGTATATGGTGCTTTTGCTCGAGCCGGACAATTTTTTGGCGCTTGAAACGAACCGGATTCCGGAGCTAAGCGGCTGCTCCGCTGCGGTGTGAACAGGAAAACCCGGTGCTTTTCAAGCTCCAGCTCCGAACTGGCCCTGAAACACCGTTGGTGTGAATGAGGTCAAAGTGATGTGTTGTAGAAACTAAATGTGCAACAAGTTCAAGGTTCAAGGCTTTTATTGTCATTCGTACATAGTACATAGGAGTGTAGTTATGTCGATGAAAATCTTCCAAGGCTCCTCCAACAGTGCAACACAATAAACAGATAAAATAGTGCACGTAAATACAATGAAATAGAATATAAATAGTGCCATAAGAGTCTATATACAAGTGATACATCATTTTTAAGTTGCAAACAGGTGAATGTTCTTACAGTAGTTCAGGTGTTTAACAGTCTTATTGCCTGTGGAATGAAACTGTCGCTGAGTCTGGTACACCATATTTTTGAAAAGTCTTTGTCAATATGAGACTGTGCCATTGCAAATATAGAATAAACTTAAAGGTGTTTCATCCCTTCCATACACTCTCCTTCTGGTTCACTGGATTTCTTGTGTGAAGCCTGGTGCTTCTCTCTTGGGCTTTGAATGAAAACACATTTCTCTTTTGGCTACAGCTGCAGCATATTTGTGTGCAAACAGCCAGCAGATGTGTCTTGGTCCAACAACTCCATCCTAACGCCCAGTTCTTTCCAACTTCCAACTTTACCTGATCCTCTCCTGGCTCATTTGAACAGAAAATAATCTCTCATGAATAATCAGCTTTGTTTCATTCCAGACAATAAGATGATTCTTGTTGACTTTGTGCATACGGAGTTTTGGCCATGAACCACTTTCAGAGCTGCACTGCACTTGATAAACACTACAGCTGCTAAATAATTTGTTGCAAACAGATTTAGTTTACCAGTATGTGTTTGTGAATGAATATGTATTACTTTGCATGCACACTTGAAGTAGATAGTTTATGCGAGTAAACCCAAATATATGTGATGATGAAACTTCAAGAGATTACTGCTTGTTGAGCGTAAGGCGGTGAATGCGGGACGAAATGTTCTTTAAATTCGACAAGATTAAGGCCAGTTGGGAAACATATTTTCCATTAAAACTCTGGTATATATTCACCCTTTGCATTTTTGGGCAAGCAAGCTGATGATGCACTTTGCTGAGCTGTCACAAGACATCTCAAGGACTGTACTGAAGGCAAATTCTGAATGTGAGAATATCTGAGAGTTTCTAGAAAGCTGCAGCCAAGCTCGTAGAAACTCTCTCCATCTGTCAGATAGGAGATCCAAACAACTAACAGCACTGAGGCAGTGTGGAGCTGTGATGCCTTCAGCCATGATGACAAAGTCCCTAATGCAGGAGTTAAGGCTACTTAATATTCTTCTGTTGATTGGGGATTAATTGTTCCATCTGGCTCTTATGAACATTTGTGAAGAGAATGAAAACCACTCCCTTATTTGTACTGACATGTTTCATCTTGTTTTGTTATGGTTTTGGAGTATGGCTAGCAAGTACAGAGGCTTGTCGGAGGAGCTTGGGCTGGACAGGCTATACCAGAGGGAGAGCTGGGAAATGTGATCCTTTTTCTCCGGGACTGTCATACGCCATCGGCTGCTTCATTTGTCTACTCCAAGTCTTTTGTTTCCATCACGATCCCTGTTCCAGGACTAGCCTGCAGAGCAAGACACAAGCAGGAAAAAAAAAGAGAGAGAGAGACAATAAAAGGAACTAAATAAGCGAATTATTATAGTGCTGCATGTTTCTTTAATACAGGACTTAACTGTGATGTACGTGCTGCAGTATTTAAAACCTGCTGAATGGCTGAAAAACAGAATGAAAGCAGGTTTGGAGTGAGAGAAGGAGGGATGAGGGAGGCTGCGCGACTGGACTCTTTGCTCCAAATTGCCCTGCAGTTCCACAGGAGTGTTGTTGACCCACTTTGTCTCCCACTCAGGTGATTAATGCAACATGCTACAAACAAAGGTCACGTCAGGAGGCAGGAGAGCTGGCCTGAACACAACAAGAGCTGAGGGATTTACACAGTATATGACTTCTGTTAGGAATGAGAAATAACAAGTTGTCTGTTGTTTTGTAGGGCATCACTCATGCTCAAGGGACACTTTGAGAAGTAAAGGAAAACAAAGTAAAGCACACAAACTCACATCCACATGACGTGTAAATATGTGAATGCACCAGGGATACACCATTATATATTATCACCGTTATTACACTATTTGTTTATGTTTTCAGTTAGCAGGTAATGATGATATTTGGAAGACCATTGTGTTTGAAATAAGTAATTAAAATGGGTTGTCCATCAATATTATTGATCAGTTTACCACATTTTCAACCTAGGTTTCAGATCGAGTTCCTCAAAATTGTGCATTTTTGTATTTTCCAGGAGTTAACAAATGTATCAATTAACCAAAATGACAATCAGCAAATGATTCAATAATTTGTTAGAAACTATATATATTTATTTCAGCATAATTTACAAGCCTTAATAGTTGGGAACAACAGATATGTCTTGTATACAGTAAGCACTATAAAAAAGACTTGAGCCTGGCTTTATGCTATCAATTTATATTGATGCTATATCGCTGCTAAAAAGTCATTTCTCAAAGATGTACTGCCAACTGTAGTGAAATGTGTCATCGAACATGCGCGACTCAAGTCAGGCATATCTTGGGTTGAAAATATAAGTTCTCTCAGCAGGAGTTCCCTGGTGGCTCCTGCATCTTAATGTTCTTTTAGAGGCACGACATACATAAATTGTCGTCTGCACATGAATTTTGTCGTTTTGTGAGAGTCTGAAAGAAGCTATTTGTTTTTACTTCTACCACTGTGTTGCTCTGTGATGTCAGTTTTGAAACACTGCTGCTTTTTTGGTTCCCCAGTCTTGTTGTATTTTCCCAGAGCTGACTCTTTCTTTTACTTTGCTAGTTATCATTTAAAGTGATTTCAGTTTGCTGTGCGAGCAAAAAGCTCCACTCCAAAACCATATTTAAATACAAAAGCAAGTGTAATTATGCTGTGTCTATCTTTTTTCCTTTTTCTCAGCGGTTATCTAAATTATAATCTCTGGTTTCAGCGTTTATACCAAAGCAAATTCTCTAAGGTATTCTACATCCATGGTTCCTCTTCTAGAGAAATTACTGCTGTTAAATGAAGCAATGATTTTCTTTATATGTGCCAGCTGTAGTGCAAATCATTTTCAATCTGCCAGAAAATCCAGTTCATTTTGTGGAGATGAGGTTGAAGATGCACTGCTGGAATGAACAGAGGCCGTTGGGGCTTTGATCCAACACCCAGATAACGTTGCATCAAACTGGGCTTTTGTGTGTCTTTTCAAATGTTATGTTCATCAAGATTTCTCTTTGATCATCTGTCGGGAACACATCCATGAAAGAAATATACATTTGTATGTGAATGCATTCACCCTGACCACAACTTTTAAAGCTGTAAAAGCAATATGGCCAAATTGCCCATAGGTACAATGTTGCATTTATACAGTATGTTGCATATTCAGAGACTATGGTTGTGCTATTGTTGGGATTTGAAAGCAGACAGAAGTGTAGTAGCTCAGTGTTTTTGTATGCCATATATATACAATATATATATATGTATATATATACATACAAGACAAGGACAAGGACATACAAGATTGTGTTTATCCAACGTTTCATTCAATTAGTTTCACCTTTTGTCAGATCTGCTTCTATTACTTGGTATAATGATTATAATAAGATAAAGAGAGAAATAACCAATGTCACGCAACATTCTGAGTCTCCGTTCTTTTTGGCTGGTTTAATGTCACTTACCCAGAAAACACTGCCTCTCTGGCTCTGCATACAGAAATGTAGCTCCACCAATTAGCCAAGGTTCATCTCAAAGACTTGTTTCTGTTGCAACAGTCAACAAATAAAGTGTACGGAGCTGTTGTATATCACAGACAAAATATAACCCATGTATAATTTGTCCCTGTCCTCCTCAGGTGAACGGGAAGGAGTTGTCCAAATCGAGCCATGAGGAGACGGCGGAGGCCTTCCGCGCTGCCAGGGACCCCGTCGTGGTGCAGGTCATCAGGCGGACCCCCAGCGGCCGCCCCCATGGCCTCCCTCAGGAAATCCATGTGGTGGATGTATGCACTCAGACCGACATCACTTTCGAACACATCATGGCGTTGGCAAAGCTCCGGCCTTCGACCCCTCCTGTGCCTGACGTCTGTCCCTTCCTGCTCTCTGACAGGTGCGCTCAATAGGAAATGTTTTTAGTTTTCATTTAACTTTCTATCTTTGCAAAGTAAAAGAAAAAGTAAAAAAATCTGAATTTAAAGTTTGAAGGTCAGTGATTTCATATCATTAAATATATTTTCATTTCATATCCTTGTGTATCCTCTTGTTTGTATTTCATTTGGTATGATTACGGAAGATTTTGGTTCATTGCCACAAGAGTTTGTTTTTGTGTCCTTGCTCTGACTTTGGCTGGGTCTGATGGTAATTAATGAGGGTGGGGGGGTAGTGAGAAATGTTATTGAGCTATGAAGCAGAAATATCAGTGTTTGGAGGATTAGCAATACAAGTATGCAAGGCGCCTGTAAAATATAAATGAATTGTCTAACCAGCTGCAGAGTATGACAAACATAGATTTGTACAGTATGATGAATGATAGTCTCAACGTCCTTCACGTGTTCTTCTCATAAATGGGACACACTACATTTAAAAAAGGACAGGGCTAAGTGATCCTAATCAAGCATTAACACAGAATGTATATATGAAGTATGCTTGGCATTTCCAGGTTTTGTAAAGAATAAAACATTAATTAAAATCTAACAACAAGCAGCAAGTATGAAAAGGTTGAGAATAAATAAAAGGAAGTCCATGTAGTCTTGTATGACGGCTTCAGTTGACTTTATTCAGTTTGACTGTTGAATCGATACACAAAGAAATAACTCAGCAGTAGGATTCAATGTGTTTGTTGGGCTTAAGTGTCTTTAATTTAAGAAGAAATGAAAGGACATACTAGAAGTCTGACAGTTAGAAGTCTAATCACATCTCAACTGGATGCTGGGAAGTACAATACCTCAAAAACCTGTTTTTTTTATTGGTAATGTGGGAGGAAGGCATCAAAATATGTACACAAAAACATCTTTGGAGTTTAAAGTATCAACAAGAGGTTTTGCTGGAAAACAACACGGCAATGGGGTTCATTATTTCTTCTCGTGGCATTTTAGTTTATACTCTGTTCATCTCAAAGGAGGAGTAAACTGTGAGCAAGAGAAAAGTTTAGCATGAAGAAATATCTGGCTCCTGCCTCTTGGGAGTGAGACAATGGCAACGTAGGAGCCTCACAGCGCAGATCTGGGAAGTCAGGATGGTCTCTGTGAAACATGTTTTTGTTATAGCAGATCATAAATTCAGAATCATAAACTCCAAAATATGTTGCCATTTGTCAGTGGAGACATGATTAGAGACTCATTGCTTGCCTAAAAACATCATAAAAAAAGTAAAGTGTGTGTGTCATTGTCGGTGCTACGTGCTAGGTGTAAAGTACTTTACAAGAACTGATCAAAATCATCACCACATGTACATATCTCACACAATAATAACCTTACAATCCCCCACGGAGCCTTCTTGCCATAATTGTATCTGCTTGGCGTATCCATTTTGACTCATGGAAGGTTTACAAGGTGATTAAAGCAAATGGGCTAATAAAAAAACTAGACAACACAGTGCAGCGTGTGCTTGCGGGCTACTTGCGGCCCCCGGCCAAGCCCAAATGTAATCAATGTGTCCCATAAAACTCACATTTTCTTCTTTTTCATCTGAGATCAGGTGCACAATCCAATATAAAGCAGATTTTATCGATGTAACAAATGTTTGTCACTCTCATGTTTGAGGCTAGATTGTAAATGTGTAATTGTATTCTTTGCACCTACTGCCAAATGTTGTTATGTGTGTAATATTGAGGCACTTAAGTATAAAGCATTCTGTCATTTTTCAGTCTGGTTTTGGCACTGGGAGATTGTTTTGAGACAGTTTTACAGTTCTGGGTATTCTTAGAGTCAAGACAGCCCCTGAACACATCACTCAGAATCTTCTTTTTTTTGAGTTTTTGTCCACCTTGTATCTTGTGTGGCACTGACGCTGCTCATCTTATCCAAGCCCTCACAATGCTGTTTTGTTCAGTGACTGAGGGAGGAATAATAGAATTACACTGTACAGTGTGGGGGGGTGGTCCGTCAATAATAGGAAGCAAATGATGTGGATATGCTGTTAATAACAAGGGGCTGGATTTTTATCACACACGCACTCCAGCGGCAATGAAAGCCCTTGACAAATCCTTTATACTTCAGATTCCTGAAAGACAAAGGCGAGGAAATCTTGTCAATTAAAGGAATTGAACGCATTAGAAAGAAGCTCAAACATCTCTCTCTGCCTCCCACTCTGTCTGTCTCTTCCTCTCTTTCTTCCTCTGCCTGTCTCCCCCGACAGCTGTCATTCTCTTCATACAATGGACAAGGATTACTATGAAGGGACGGATTACCTCTCCCCTGTTCCAGCTGATGGAGAGAGGACGGAGGAGTTTGAGTATGAGGTAGGAAACGTACTTGACATCACTGCTTTCTTAAACCTTACAAATTCATTGGCATTGGTCATATTATTGGCTAAATGTAAATCACGCTGATGTATTGGCACATTAGGTTTCAATTAAGTTCTTTAACGACATTTCCTGTGTCGATTACTGATTGTTTTTACTTTTCAAATTAGAAAGACCCAGGTAAACGGTCTAAAGTCTTTTAGCTCATTGTCTCCTGGCTCCAGCCTTATACTTAACACACCTATAAAGTGGTATCAGTCTTCTTTTTACCTCTTACTTTAATATTTGAAGGACCCTCTGAAATTATTTTTCAATAATGAATTAGACCTCTAGTCAGGTGAAAGTAGTTCACTGCTGTGACCGTGCTTTGGAAGTTCTGGCATGTAGCCTTCGACATCCTGAAGTGTTTGAGGTACTGCTCTTCTGTGAAACCCTTTACCCTCAACATATGAGGAATTCTCATCCGACCTCCGCATTATTAAAGATATGAACCTTTGCATTGCACTGTCAAATATATTTTCCCAAAGGCCTGTCTTGCAAAAGTGCCATTTTGTTCTTGTTGCACATGTGTGACGTTTTATGGTGCATTGGGTTGCATGCGAGGCATTTCAGAGCAGAGATCCTTTCACACAGATGTCAGATATGTTATCAGCCAGAGAAGTCAGCCTTTAACTCCTTTAACGTAGGCCTGGAATAACATATCCCCAAACTCTACAAAACTTTAATGTACGGTAACAATGTTAGGTTTTCTGTCCTAACAGGTGCAGGAAAACATGAGACACTGGCGCAGTTTGTACACATCTACAGTCCAGAGAAGAGGTCTAATCAGGCAACATACGGACAACCACTGTGTGAATGGACTATTAAGGGGCTTTAATGGCTCCTTATCAATAATATATCTTGATGTTATGGTTGAAAAACTAGTATTGGCCCAAATATTGTTGTCGATATGGATATTGGCCTCAAAAGTCCTGTATCAGTAGGGCTTTACTGCTGACAACAAGTTAAGTATGTGCTAAAGTGCTGAGAGTGTAGCAGAGATGCCCCCCATGTACAACCGCAAACACACATCTGACCTCTCCAACACACTCTTAGCACTTCATATGTAATGATGCTTGGCAATTGGTGGAGGGTCCCAAACACTAATTGTCTCTACAGGCAGATCCCAGGGGGACAGTAGAGACAGATGACGAGCCACTTTGCAGACAGCTTGAAAAATCCCTTGCTGCCATTGGCAATGATGACATTTATCTACAAGGCAAAAGGAGAAAGTTTAAAACCCTCCAAACAGTTGGTGTTACCCGAGACGTGCTAATTGTTTTCACATCTCAGGAAAAGAAAGATAATAACTTGGTTGACTTTGAGCTTGATTAAACCCAATTAAAGTCTGTTGCAAGTGCTAGTCAGAAAAAAAAGGAGATGGAAACACATTTCTTTGCTTCTGCAGAATTATTGGGGTGTAAATAACAGGATCAGTTGGGTAGGTGATGTTTCTAAGGCTGTTGATCTCTGACACATAGAGATAGATACATACTGATGCACTGATTCAACTGTGACGGGAAGAGATAAACAGACTCTGTCTCCCCTCTCTGCTTTGGTCCAATATTCTTTATTTCCGAGTCATTGAGGTGCGAGCATATTGCAAGCTACTGGTCTGATGTATGATGATTGCTCACCCCTCCCTCCCCATATTTGCTTCATTTGAATTTTCTTCTGAAGGCCACCCCCCACTGAGCGTGAGCTGTTTTTCCACAACCTAAAGACATTTGTGCACCCGCTTGGATCCCAGTGTCAAATAGGTACAAATATAATATATTAAAGCCTCTCTTTATGCCTCATTGCTATTAACAAATCCTAGTATTCTGCGTACGCTTCGTGGCCTGCATCGTTTTTTATTTCATGCTCGAAGAGTTAGATATCAAGCTAATGCGACCCCACTTACTGTATGTCAACTGAAAACGCTGTAATGGGGGTGTAGGGAAAAGCTGAAAAGCCACTTTTAGAGTCAACCTGATCCCTAAACCCCCCGCTGAAGGAGAGGAAAGAGAATGAAGGAAAGACATTTCTTTAAATTACTTTTTGATACATGAAAATGCACAGTGGGGGAGAGCAGTTTGCCATCACATCACAGAGAAACCATCTAAATCTAATTCACCTTTCTATTACACCAGCACATTGATGTTACTGTTAGGGTAATCCACATGTGAGAGTCCTGAGTACAGTGGTTGATGAGGTGGAGAGAAGGCAGATGTGATGGGATTGTACATTCTGTATACCTTTTATATTTCCCAAATATTTTAAAATGTGAAAACAGTATTGAAATGCTCCTGTATTTAATAAATAGGCAGTCACAGGATACACCAAAGACTGCTATAGTCTCTATCTGAATTCAGCTAATTTGATAGCTCAGAGTTAGCAACTAGCAAGTGAACAGTGGAGGATATAGCATTTAAAGAACCAGACACTCCACAGGTTGTAACACTGTCCCAAACTGGACAAAAAACGACTAGGTAACTGATTGTTTTCAAAATGGTTTAAATGCAACTGTAAAGATATAAAGATTAAAGACACCAGGTTAGTGCAGCTAGACAGCAGGATACTGTGTACATATAACATACATGGATAATTCTGTTTCAACAAGAGGGTATGTCCTTAAAAGAGTACTTGTGAAAGTAACACAGTCTAAATATACATATACGTCTCATACACTGAAACTAAGACTTATTCAAATGATGTTCAGTGGTAGTGGGTAGAGGATACTAATTACTGACTTGTTTTACAGTGACCAAATTGTACATTTATTCTCAGATTTTCCTAAAATACTTACATTTGTTGGCCATCTGTAATTCTGCTATGTATATGTGTACTCAATTGGGACTTATTATCAAATTCCACCATATAACATTCTTCACTGCATCTCTCTCCGTAACATCTGCTATTTCAAAATGTTTCTAAAATAAGTTCTGCTTTAAAAGATGCGATATGGCAGCCGTTTTAAGTGAACATTTTGTTCCTTTGTTAGGAAAATGAGAGAATTTCTCTGCCACCCCTGAAGCTGAACAAACCCCAGACTCCGCACAGATACCTAAAATGTCTCTATCTTCTCCGATGGTTGGCTACGTTTAGATTATCGAAACACACAGGAAATGCCTTAAAGCTAGAATTTCACACAGAAACATACATTTTTCTCGGATCCCCTGATGTCTATTCATTCAAAACACCATTTTAGTAACCATTCATTTGATTAGTTTCGGTAGGTTGTGAAAAAGTACTCCAAGATCGGAGATTTTCTTCCCTCTCTTCCTGCCAGTGGTGCCCATCCATGCATTTGTGACTGCTTTTTCAATTACTGGTAATCAAAGGCACAATTATTATGACAGCATCCACTGTGCTTTGATGGCGGGCGGCAATCTTCCCCTAATCACGCCATGGCAGTCATTAATTTACTGTCAGCCCTCGTCCCTGTGCCACGCTGCAATCTCTTGCCTCAGAGGCAGAGAGCTCGCGTGGAAAATGTAATAAAAAAAATCAAAAGGCAAGAGGAGAGACAGAGATTGGTGAATGCACATTTGATGGATCCTGAGACAACCCCTGTTTGCTGAGCCATCTAAGTGTGTGTGGGTGTTTTCTGTACACAATACTATCTTAAAAACAAGAAAGAAACAGAACATGTTTTAGAGAATAGGGGTCAAATATGTTTACTGCACATAGATCAACTCCCACACATACAGCTGCCCAGTTTCATCCAACATGCAGTAATTGTAGCAATCTATTTTCTCTGATCATTTAGCTAGTTCCCCTGCACTTTATCTAACCATCAATTAGTCAGAAGTAACTTGAGGCTTGTTGCAAACAGCTATATACTGTAGGGATGACGTAGTACCTGCTCACACCTCTGCTTTGCCTCAGTCTCAGCAATTCATTTGTGTGGCTTATTTTTAGACAGATGACTCCGGGACATTGCTAGTGATTTTAATATTTCCCACAGATATACCACAACTTCTCATGTGAGCATGCAAGATTTGTGCCACCTCCGTAACTGTCATTACCTCCATGACTGCTTTGTTGCATCAGATGCTGCCGCCTTAATCATATCTTCTCAAACAAATGGAGGTAGCTTATTAGTAATATTCTTAATATAGCTACAGACTGATTTTAGCAGCTCACTTTGTTCAGGTATTCAGCACCAAAGCTTCTTCACTCTTTCAGGCTATATCCTTATGTATTAGCCGGGATTTCAAGTTGTCATCGCTTCTGAGACAGTCAATTAAAGATCTGAGCTCCCCGTCAGGTGGAGGCTGTCGAGAAAGATAAAACGACACAAACCTCAGATGACATTGTTTTTCTTCAGCTCTTTTTCTCTCCGCCTGTGCAAATGTGTGTGCTTTGCTCAAATTAACTTGTGTGTTAGCATAAGGATTTTTTTGGGTTATGCATAGCCCATTACATTACATTGCATTTAGCTGACCCTTTTATCCAAAGCGACTTACAGTAAGTGCATTCGACCAAGAAGATACAAACTTGAAGAAAACAGAATCATATAAGTACATTCGGTTTCATAGAGCAAAAACATTTCAAGTGCTACTCAACTGGCTTTAGATAAGCTAGTCCTTTATAAGTGCTATGTAAGTAATTATATCGCTCGAAGTGGAGTCTAAAGAGATGAGTTTTCAGTCTGCGCCGGAAGATGTGTAAGCTTTCTGCTGTCCTGATGTCAATGGGGAGCTCATTCCACCATTTTGGAGCCAGGATAGCAAACTGACGTGTTTTTGCTGATTGGAACTTGGGCCCCCCTTCGCAGTGCGGGTGCAGCGAGCTGTTTGGCTGATGCAGAGCGGAGTGCACGTGCTGGGGTGTACGGTTTAGTCATGTCCTGGATGTAGGAAGGGCCAGATCCATTCACAGCATGGTACGCAAGTACCAGTGTCTTGAAGTGGATTCTAGCAGTTACTGGAAGCCAGTGAAGGGAGCGGAGGAGCGGTGTGGTGTGGGAACATTTAGGAAGGTTGAAGACAAGACGAGCCGCTGCATTCTGGATGAGCTGCAGAGGTCGGATGGCACATGCAGGTAGACCAGCCAGGAGGGAGTTGCAGTAGTCAAGGCGTGAGATGACGAGAGCCTGGACCAGAAGTTGCGTTGCTTTCTGGGTCAGCTGGGGACGTATTCTCCTGATGTTGTAAAGAGTGTATCTGCAGCAGCGGGTTGTAGCAGCGATGTTTGCAGTGAAGGACAGTTTGTTATCTAGGGTCACACCCAGATTCCTTGCAGTCTGAGTCGGGGAAACAACAGAGGTGCCGATCTTGATTGTTAGGTCAAGAGTGGGACAATCTTTTCCAGCAAGGAAAAGCAGTTGAGTTTTGTCAAGGTTGAGCTTGAGGTGATGAGCAGACATCCACTGAGAGATGTCAGCTAGACAAGCAGAGATGCGTGCGACGACCTGGGTCTCTGAGCGGGGAAAGGACAGAATTAATTGGGTGTCGTCAGCGTAGCAGTGGTATGAAAAACCATGCGGGCTAATGACTGATCCGAGCAAGTTTGTGTACAGAGAGAAGAGGAGGGGACCAAGTACAGAGCCCTGAGGGACCCCTGTAGTTAATTGACAAGGGTCAGACTCTGACCCTCTCCAAGTTACCCTGTAGGTGCGGTCTTTGAGGTATGAGGTGAGGAGGGAAAGTGCAGAGCCTGAAGCTCCAAGTTCAGCCACAGCTTCCTGGTCCGAAAACACCTCAATGATCTGTCAATATGTGACGTTAGCAGAGGTAAAAGAGGGAAAAAATGGGAATTGAGCCTAAAGATGTGTTTGTGTGTGTGTGAAGAAGTGGGGGGTCATAAACAGCTTAGGAGGGGTAGCCAGAGGCAGCAGGTGGCGGCTCTCTGGCAGATGTATTGGCCTTTTCCCCAGCTTCCCCTCATCTCACCATGGTCAGGCTTCACCTCCCCCTCGTGCCATTCCCAAAGCCCTACCACATCTGACACATGTAACCAGCCAACCCACAGTTGTCACAGAGGAAATGAATCTCTCTGTGAGGCCCATATGAGCCCCACCAGAGCCCTCACCACCACCTACATCCTCCTCTCCACTCAACCACCTCGCTCCTGCTGCTGAGATTTGGTGCGTTTCTGCTCTAAGGAAGACTTTGGGAGGAGAGGCCATTTCACACTTGAATCCCTCCAACGCCCTTGATATGTTTCAGCATTTAGAGATGGAGCATAGTCCTGTGCTGTTTGGCTGTTTGGATGCACCTCTGTTGTGGTAAACCCAGTGTGTATCGTGGTGTTTGTGAATTAACTGTCTCAAAGCTTGGGAGAGATTCAAAGTTGTTTTTGCTTTCGGATTGCAGCATTATTTAGATATCAGATGAATGCGAACTGCCACTCACTCAAGTTCTAGAAAAACTTCAATTCCCGCTTTCTGTTTGTTTGTATTAATGAACTTAAATGAGGAATTCATGTTGATGCCAGGGTACTTTGCTCTGTTTCAAGAGGCTCGTGGGAAATATGACGACCGCTGATTTGTAATTCAATAGTTTGTTGATATCTCCCCAAGGGAAGATGAGGAATACTTCAGTGCTGCAGCAAACATGTATATCTGGTAGCATTAGCATAATTATAGTTTATTTATAGTCTAATATTTTATAACTTGGCTAAGGCTTGAAAGAAAAACACTTGAGGTCCTCTGGATTTTATCAAAGCCCCCACCGATCAAACTCTGCGAGCTGAGAATGTCTTTCATGATCAAACACTTTCAGACTCAGAACCCTCAGAAAAGAGTTTGAAATGCAGACTCAATAAGCATCTAAATAACAAGTCAGATGTTGTGCTGGAACCTGAAAAACATTGTTATTTGATGTGCAGCAGAGCAGGAACTTAGTCTACAAGTAGCCATTGCTTTGCATAAATATTTGAATTGTATTGAAAGTGTACAGAATATATTTGGAGTTTCAAATCAGTTTCTCCTTCCTCATTAAATGGTCCTTTAGGTCTGCAAAACAATAACACCACAAGGTTGGTTTAGTAGCTATTTTGGAGTTTTCACTCAAACAACTCAATTTAATGTTTGTGAATTCATATTCTTAGAGCTTCAAGCCACTATGAAAGAGAAATCGTTGAAGTGTTCAGAAGAATTTAAATTTGACCGAAGATTTCACTGGACACTCGAAGATAATTGTCTGATGTAATAAATGGATCTTGTGGTGTGATTGTTTTATCAAATGCTGATTCCAAGGTTGAAAACTTGACTTTGTGCTAGGAATGGCAATGTCTGTTTGTGTACCTCTTGCTCAAACTGAGATGTCTCGACAACTATTAAATAGGTTGCTATAAAAGTTGGTTCGGACATTATTATCTTCTTGAAGTAATGACACCACCTACAGCTTAAACTCAACTGTACTTTATTTAGCAAATAAGCCAATGTTAGCATGCTCACACACTAAACTAAGATGTTTGCTGTGTAATGTAAAGTTTAAAGCCACTAAACACCAGCATGTTTATTGTTAGCATGGAGGCAATAGCATTTAGCTTAAAGTAGCGCTATGCCAGGCATGCATGTCTGTAGAGTTTTTGTAAATGTTTTACATTGTTCTGTTTTTTCCCTCTTGTCTGCTTAGGAAGTGGAATTGTGTCGACTCAACAGCCAAGAGAAGTTGGGGCTAACTCTTTGCTACAGAACAGATGAAGAGGATGATGTTGCCATCTATGTCAGTGAGGTGGGTAGAAACCTTCCTCTTCAGGTTAAGAGACATGAATGAATTGTGTTGAAAGTAGGGCTGGCTAATTCATTTTATTATATTTTTTATAACTTATTAAAACAAGATAATTGAGACAAAACTATTATTGTGCTGGATTCTGTTTTTGCAACGTGTCTCTTGTTTTGTTTTCTTATAAAAATGCATCACACCCCTTACCTTTGCTGCTTGCTGTCCTTCCTGGACTCATTTCTCCATGCCACATGTATATAAAACCGTACACGCTGCATCCTCCAGCTTCAGTTGCCGTGAGGAAGCCCCAACTTTTCACATAAAAAGTTTTCATTCTCAAATAACACTGAATCATACCTCTTTTATTTTTCTCGACTCTGCTTTGCTCCTGGAGAAATATATCTGCCTCCTGCTAGATTTGTATTGCCAACCAGCCTAGCTAGGGCTGCTAGCTTTTTGAAAAATTAAAATAAGAATACTCTCAGGGCAAAAGGTATATGCATATTCTACAGTTATATGCATATCTTTATTTCATTTCTTTGAAGTCTCACATTTACATATACTCTCTTTTAGAAACTGACAATTATCATGGCTAGATCACAGTGCCTTAGTAAAGTGCCTAAACAACTGAAAAAGCTCAATTTCCAAGACTAAATCATTTGCGACATTTAATATTCATCTCCCAATGTATGATTTCATTTAGTATTCATGTGAGTGAAGCAGGTTTCTCTATAAAGTAAAGCTATTTCAAATGACATTATTGAACAACATGAGCCGGTTAAATATAAATTGAGGAAAAACAACAACAAAAAACACTCTCAGGTCTCGTCATAGTTGTAAAGCTGTGAGATGCATAATACCAAAACTACTCCTGCATGCATTTATCTCTTGTTAGTAGAATATGAAATACAGCTCTCTATTCTGCTCAACTTTCTCCCCATTCGTTTGAAGTTGACTCGGACCCTGCAAGGTGTTTGCTTTGAGATCTGAGCCGAATATAAATCACTGGTCCGTGGCTCTTGGCAGCTTCCTTAGGTGTTCTTTCTGTAAAAAAGTAGGGCTTAAAGTGTGTGCCGCATTTAGATAAGGTGGCTGAATGTCACTGTATACAGGATGTGTTAGAGAAAGTATTACTCTGATCTTGCGTAAGAACTGAGAACACATCAACATGGAGTCAAGTACAATGCAAGGTCACTTTAGAACAAGCTTGATTTCCCACCTTTGAAGCACTTGATGAAAGGCAACATTGTCTTTAATTGTGATTCCTAAGATACTTTTATTTCCCTTTGTTTTTATCGTGCCTCAGTGGTTAAATAATTTAGACGAACAAGTGCAACAAAGCTTCATATCCTAAGGTGTATACATGTTCTTTACCGGTTTAACTCCATTCATGGTCTGGACTTAATACCAGCATGCATAGATCAAAAGGCCTGCCTGGATAGGACACCAGCATATAGCCAAGCTACACTCATTGACACTAAAATTCAAAGATTGTAATATTTACTTCAGATAAAAAATGTCTTCCTTGCCATTGTTTTAAACTCAGTCAGAAAACCAACCAGAAAGAGTCAATCTCCAGACCTTCTTTTTGTGTTCCATATGTAACCAAAGCCAATTCACCACCCACGATGATATCTTCAACAGTTAATACATTCCTCTATTTTCCTATAAATCAGTTTCCACTTGTAGGTCACTCAGGGTTTAGGTGAAGAAAGATTACCTTCAATTTCCCCCGTTCCCTATATTCCTGTTAGTGACCTTCCTCCCAGTTTAATGAGTGTTCCTCTGTGTAAGAGTGGACTATCATGAAGATGGAGTATCACAGCATCTTACTAGCTCCAGAAATCCTGCCTGTTGCAGAGAGTGAAAGAAATGGCCCCAGACGCCGATTGATTGGCCGCTGAAAGTGTCCTGCCCCCTTGTTTACTGGCGTTAGTTACAGGAGGAGCAGGTGCATCATGTATCGGGGCAGAGTAACAGGCTGTTTATGCTCTATGCAGAGGCTGGTGCTATATAAACCTGCCAGAATATAACAACTAAGGCGGGCGCTATAGAGTACTTAAATGATAAAGGTGATGCTCAGGGGGAAAATGGCTTTGGAAACTGACCAGGCAGCTGCAGGAAAGGCATTTGACATCCAAGGTCTTCCCACGTCAGCACACCTATTGTGTGTTGCTCACATTACTAACAACAGTCTAGACATGTCTAGTATCTGGGTGATGTCTATATAATGAGTTAAAACATCGCCAGGCACTCTGATACTCTCGCATGAAGATTGAAAGTCCATTATTTTGTTCCCTCTACCTTCACAGATCTGTCCAAACAGCATCGCCGCCAGAGATGGACGCATCAGAGAGGGCGACCGTATTTTACAGGTACAGTAGGACCCACTCTCTCATGGCCCCCTCTACACCAGCTTTCATTAAATTCAACATAAAAAGCTGCTTTTATTTTGTCCGACTCAACCACTGTCTCCCAGCACGAGAGCCCATTCATTTTTAATGGCAGCACATTAAAGGGGGAACATGCCCCCACTGTGACTGTTAGGGGGAGAATAGCCCCCATGGCTGTTTTAGTTACAGACTCAGCACCAACAGGGGTTTTTAAGAGTTCTAGTTCAGGATGGTGCTGTGCTGCAGCTCACTGCCTCCTGTGGGACAGCTGAGAGGCTATGACTGTTATTAGCCCCTAGCTTCATCTCCAGGCCTGAGATCATGAGGATCTGTGCTGCAATCCAGCAGCAGCAGTTGTTAGGGGCTGAGGCTCTATAGTGTTTCCTCTATGGGAGAGGGCGGTAATTATTGTTTTTGTTGAAACAAGTAATAGCCTCTAATTGTAATGTCAAGCATATTATTATTGTTAAGGCAAACAATTGGCTATTAATAAATTAAGAACAACATTAGCATTTGCCTGCTGTGCATTAAGCCTCCAGATGAAAATAAAAGTATGTTTGCTGCATTTTGTGCTCTGTTTGGGTCACCAGCAACTCCTGAGGGAAACATAAGGCTCTTTAGTTTGCAAGATGCTTAGTATCTTCACCAGCACTTTTCACTAACTTCCCAGGTTTATTAGATAATTGTTATTCGAACAGTTCGCTGCTCCTGCTGTAAAATTCTAATTGACATCGATATGCTATTGAATGCAATAAAAAAAAAACGTTGCACCGTTCAACCAAATGCATGATTTAAAGATGGTTCAAGTGTAATTCACATGATCTCATATTAAATGTTTGTAAGAGTTGGCCATGCTATGGGATTATGTACTGCTTGTTTATAGTTAATAATACAGAAGATAAGGAACTAGAGATGCACAAAATACAATGTACTCGTCATGAAGTACTAAAGTTAAGGCGTTATTCTGCGCAGGTGATTATTTGATACGTGGGGCGGATTTATAAGCACTGTTCAATACTAATAGTATACTGGTGTCTACCCTTTGTGTTGTGTGACTGATTTGAGCCGGGAGGGAGGGTGTGTGTGTGTGTGTGTGTGTGTGTGAGCGCACTGTGGCACTATTATCCACCAGTGACAGGGCCATTACTCTTCCTGCAAAAAGATGGACGCCCCCTGTCAGTGGCCAGTTAATTGTACGGCTAGATGCATGTGCGCTGCCGGATACTTTGGTGAACACAACAGCTCCGTCCGCCCCCGGCCACTGTCCCATTCATAATCACTGCTGTGTCCTGCGCCGTATTAGAGAGCATCACAGGGTGTTTACAACTTTCCTGGGGGAAAAGGGCATTATGTGCATTGCCACTTTTATTGTGGTACTTTGTTGTTAATAGGGGCTTCTGTATTGGATTGTTTGTGCCTGTGTTCAAATACTTAAATGTTTGTCTTGCGTGTGACTTTATTGTGACTTTGGATATTGTATTTGTCGACATGTTCAGATTAATGGCCAAGATGTACAAGACAGAGAGGAAGCAATGGCTGCCCTCGCCAATGACGGCAGTAGGAACATCATACTGCTGGTTGCCAGACCTGAATTGCAGGTGAGAAATGACCACAGAGTAACATCACGCTGACATACTTTTAGCCTCTGACTTAAACACTTATTGTGGTCCGAACATGAGTAAAGGAAGCATGCAATCCAGAGAGCCCTGAAGCTTGGTCTTTTCCATTAAAGTATATTTGCTCAGAGTAAACCTTAGCAGTCCAGGGTAGCCAACCCTCCCCGCCGACAGAACCCCTCTTAGTGGAAGCCACCTCTGAGACACCTCATCATATTTTATTTTTATGTAGCGCCACTGTAATTGACTTCCAACGGTAAGCCATAAAAGCTAATGGCATGCTAATGTGGAGTGAGTTCAGGCCCAAGGCCGATGGCGAATAAGTGAAAGGACTCTGCTGCAGTGCAGATGAGCCAGCAGCAATAGTAGACTCTTTGTAATTAAATGTGTCTCTCAGTAGTAAATCTCAAATCTTCAGATATGGATCCCATTTGGTTCGCATCAAGCAGACAAACAAATGATGGATGGTGTGGAGCAAATAGGTCAAAGGTGGCAGTCTTATGTCTATTAAATTGTATTGGGTTGATTTTAAGATTACACTACATGTTTTAAAGATGAGGGGATGCCTTTTGTTGCTTATGAAACAGGGACCTATATATCAGTCGAACACCATACCATATTAATGCTTGTGGCTTCTTATTTCAAAACCATGCCTGTTTTTTTTTTCTCTTCAGAAAATCCTATTTGGGCATCCATTTGGAACGCCCCACTATTTGTTTTGAGACACCGTGTCGCCACAAGCTTTAGGCCTTGACAAATAACACTCGCCCCTGTCTCACTCTCTCTCCATATGTTTTCCTTTTTCATTCACCCTTAGCTGGAGGAGGCCTGGCTGGATGATGAGCACAGTGAGTTCCTGGAGCAGCTGAAGATGGAAATGTTGGAGGAGCAGCAGAGGGAGGAGATGGAATTGGCTGCCTTACAGGAGGAGCAGGAGAATGAGCAGGTCAGACAGCGGCAAAACATTTGCTGTAACTGGATTAGCGAGTCTATAAAAAAGTTTTTTTTGTCTTGGTTTAAGACATTTGCTCCGTTCAATAGGAATAAAGCCTTAAAAGCTGAAAGAAATCTAAATAATTTGATGCAACCTTCCTTTTGATTGAAAGACTATACTACCCATTGTGAACATCCTACATTAGACGGGCCAGTAATTGCTTTGACTGTATTAGGTCATTATTCACAATCCATATTAACTTGTTAATTGAATTGACTACAGATATACTACAGAGGAAATCAAACTCTTCATTGACTTTCTTTGCAAAACAGGCTTTGCCCTTATTGAAATATGAATAAAATAATGATTATGAATATTTATGCAAGGGGACCATTGAAACATTGAAATTCCAAACATTCGTTAATCATACTTTAAAATTCTGTTTTCTTGAGAGAATAGCACGCTACAAAAATCCATACTGTATGAATACAACTTCAAAGACGAGGCAGAGAGGAAACAATCCCTAAAGAAACAGAGCTGTACAACAGAGTTTCACACAACAGCACATGTAATCCTTCAGGAGAATTCAGAATAGGCTTGTTCTTCATGAACTCTTAAATCTTGCTGTTTTTGTTGATGTTGTTGTTTTTGTGTCCTAATTCCATACAAAGGAAGGCAAACATGAAACTATTGGAAAACACCATAGTACCATTCTAAGTTCATTACGACATATACGATACGTTTGATCACTTGAAGCATACTTGCAAGCATACTTGGAAATATTTTTGAAAACATCCTTATACCCACTTATATTTAAAACAGGCTTTGCAAAAGTTAAATATGATAATACAAATCCTTATGTAGATCATTAAAAGAAAGAAGACTATCATATTCCTGCATGTTTTATAAGTGCCGTATATCTATAAACATGTTTGCTCTTGTTCCTCTTATTCTTTCAGATGAGAGCAGAAGATGACAAGCCCACCTGCTCAACACTCCCCCATCATAAGGATAACGTACTAAGTATAAAGGACAGAATGGAAAGCTCGGAGCATAATGTCCTGGCACACATCCAGAAACGTTTGTCCCAGTGCCTGAGAGACAATCGGGACACACACCGTAGCACGGGCTCCACGCGGCTGGAGGACAAAGACGATGAGGACGATGATGAGTCGGAGGGGGATCGTTTCCAGCAGCTCTTGGAGCTAAAGTGTCAGATCCGCAACAGCGGTGAGTACGACCTGTTCTACAGCCGGCGCAGCACCATCGAGTGCAGCATCCGGGAGCAGGGCGGTGTGCAGCACGAGCTGCGGATGCTCAACGACGAGCTGCGCAGCATCGAACTAGAGTGTCAGAACATCATGCAGGCGCACAACCTTCGTAAGGGCCAGCAGTCTCCCTCCACAGGACACTCGGCCCCCTCCACTAAAAACCAAAGCCTCAATCGTAGTGACCCGTCCAGGGGTAAACTTATTGACATTAACGGGAGGCTGGAAAAATCGGACAAGGACAGCTCCAGTGCCTATAACACGGCGGAAAGTTCACGAAGCACCCCTCTGGCAATGGACCGCTCGCCGGAGCACTCACTACAGAGGATGGTCAGCCTCACTAACCAGAGGAACCTCCGCAGTGGACTTGCCAGTGGCCCTTCTCTCAGCCCGAGCCCCATTCCAGCATACAGTGCTGCAGTCCCAGGGAAAAGTAGCAGCCCTGACCACAGCAATCATTCGAAGTCCAACCAGACTTCTCAGGCTGAGGAGGAGAGCAGTGGGAAAGTAAAGTCACTTGCTTCCCAGATTCCATACTTCTCTCCATCCCACAGTTCCCAGCAGAGGCAGGTCAACATCCCCGCACATGCGCGCCACTACCAGAGCTACATGCAGCTGATCCAGCAGCACTCAGCTGTTGAATACGCTGAGAGCCAGCTCAGCCTGCTCAGCGTGTGCAAAGAGCCTCAGAGGCCCAATAATGAGAACAAGATGGAGTGGAAGGTCAAGATCCGCAGTGACGGCACGCGCTACATCACCAAGAGGCCTGTGAGAGACAAGATCCTGAGGGAGCGAGCCCTGAAGATTAAAGAGGAGCGCAGCGGGGGAATGACCACCGATGATGATGCAATGAGTGAAATGAAGATGGGGAGGTACTGGAGTAAAGAGGAACGAAAGCAGCATCTGGTCAGAGCAAAAGAACAGAGGCAGAGACGAGAGTTCATGCAGCGCAGCCGGCTGGAGAGTTTAAAGGAGAACCCTCAGAGCAGCAGCGAGGGGCGCAAGGAGGTCAGCATTATTGAGCTCAGCCAGAAGAAGATGTTGAAGAAACGCAACAAGAAGATCCTGGACAACTGGATGACCATCCAGGAGCTGATGACTCACGGTACCAAGGCCCCTGAGGGGGGGGCTAAGGTGCACAACGCCTTCCTATCAGTCACTACTGTATAAAACTGACACTCACATTCTACCCCATGCGGTATAATATACTTGCCTCGTTCAATGTGGCGTTTTTATGAGGACAATAGGAATATTTTTCACACTTTGTAACCCAAAAAGCATTTTGTAAAGAATTTATCAGTGTTGTCATGGCATTTTCTTCATGTTTTTTCAATATTGTTTTTCACATCACTATGCGGGGAAAACATTTTCTATGAAATGACGACTATATAATTATTTTATTACTTATAAACATTTTTATCTTTTCAATTCTATTTTCATATTTATGTTACGTAACCATATACTCAAAATGGTTGAATGTCATATTAAGAGAAGTTTATTGTTTTCTTTTATCTATTATGTTAACTTGCTAATTGCAACACAACGTGAGTCAGTGGGTCTCGTGCTTTTTGCTTGTATCTTTCATTAACAGATCTACTTATCCTTTAAAGCTGAAATATGTTTCTCTTAGTTTTGTCAAGAGGAATTATGTTTCAGACTACTGGATCTTATACAGGACTGTCTCAGAAAATTAGAATATTGTGATAAAGTTCTTTATTTTCTGTAATGCAATTAAAAAAACAAAAATGTCATACATTCTGGATTCATTACAAATCAACTGAAATATTGCAAGCCTTTTATTATTTTAATATTGCTGATTATGGCATACAGCTTAAGAAAACTCAAAAATCCTATCTCAAAAAATTAGAATAGTTCCTCAGACCAAGTAAAAAAAAAAGATTTATAACAGCAAAACACAATCAAACATTTGAAAGCTGTTATAAATCTTTTTTTTTTACTTGGTCTGAGGAACTATTCTAATTTTTTGAGATAGGATTTTTGAGTTTTCTTNTGTTTTTCAAGGCTCAGGAAACCCTTGCAGGTGTTTCGAGTTAATTAGACGATTCAAGTGATTCGTTGAACACCCTACTAGTATCATTTTTCATGATATTCTAATATTTAGAGATAGGATATTTGAGTTGTCTTAAGCTGTATACCATAATCAGCAATATTAAAATAATAAAAGGCTTGCAATATTTCAGTTGATTTGTAATGAATCCAGAATGTATGACATTTTTGTTTTTTTAATTGCATTACAGAAAATAAAGAACTTTATCACAATATTCTAATTTTCTGAGACAGTCCTGTATATACAGACTTCAAATACTAGTATCTAAGAAACGTGATGGGTATTTTGTATGTAGGGCTGAGAGGGGCAGTAAAAATCTTAATGCATTTTATTAAAGATCTGAGGACTTGCATTGAGCCAAAGTTGAAGCAGGATTTAAACGACCAGAGAAAAGAGTTATTGAAGCAATATGAGCGAAGCCAGGCTCCTTTTTTATGTGTTGTATAATTTGAATAATAGTGTGAGCAAATGTAGCATAGATTATGTTTCCAACAGAGGGTATAATACAGCTCTTAAAATATGCTTTATGTGTCAATGAATAATATACAAGCATACAGTATATCTGTTTAGGCATAACCTTAATACAATATGTTTTAGAGACTATTATACATAATTCTAATCCAAATAGTACTTGTTTAAGACCTCTGCAGTATGTATTGCAGTTTGGCTGACCCGTTTTATGAATAATGAATTGTAATTAGAGCTCTAATTATGCTCTAAAATATTCACAGGTTTTTGTTTAATAGGTCCCCCAATGCATTTGGTTGGGGTGATAATGAAACAACAAATGACACATAAAACATGGGGTGTGAAAAGAAACAAACTCCAAATGGTTCACAGAAGCAATATAAGATCTCTGCCAATCTCACACACACACACACACACACACACACACACACACACACACACACACACACACACACACACACACACGCCAGAGAGTTACAATACACAGAGCTGTGATTAAATAAATAGTGAGACAACAGAAGAATTGACTTTCAAACTAATTCCTAAAACTATTGACTTGTGTAACTTCGGTATTACATTCACAGTTGGCTTTAAACACTTGGCAATAAACCAGTTATTTCTGCATGGTGTTATGCTGGAAATGAGTGAACTGAATGTGAAAGACACTTGTTTGTTACAGCATAACTGAAATTCCAGAGGCTCTCAACTTGTTTGTATGAGAATGTCTGCACTTCCAACCTCTGTGGGTAAAAGAAAAATGTTTTTATATATTGCAATATGAGGCAACTTACTGTAGTCTGAAGTGATCAATGCACCACTGTTTTCAACTTTTCTGCAGCCTAGATCCTCCGAGGTTTGAAGTACATGTAGAATATCTGAGCAGCCATGCTAGTAGCGTAGCTGGGTGGAAAGCAGTCGGCTTGTTGGTTAGTCACCTCGTTTTGTCTAGACTCAATTATCTCATCTATTGGATGGTTTGTCAATAAACCTTTGTTCAGACATCCTCTATTCTCTTGGGATTGTAGCGTGGTGACTTTGTGATGAGTTGTTAGGTAATTCCATGCCCCATAATCCTCTATTAGCGGACTTGATATTGTCTTCTGCTTGATAGAGCCATATTCCTTCAGAACAGCTGGCTCAGCAGTAGCAGTCGGTCCATATCACCTGCATACACACAGCTACAGCTGGCATGATACGACCAATTATAACAACACAGCAGTTATCATATCAAAGATCAAAGCTGCCATCAATTTCTAAAGTGACATCGAGAGACGCATGATCCGAGGCAATTACCAGTTTGTTCCGAGTCTCTGAGATTAAGGAGAGGAGGCACTATGAAGTAGATTGCACCATGACATGTCGAGTAGATCTGTATGTCAATAAATATGGACCTCCCTCTGTGAATAATGGGAGAGAATTTGTAGTTTTTGCTGTTCAGGGAATCCTAAAGGTTATCAACGAGCATTCATAACCGAGGCAATGGTTCAGTGTGTGTGTTTGTGTGAGTGCAGCACTGAAGAGGAAACGAGCCACTACTATCTGTTTGACATTTCTGTCAGTGCTGGTATTTAAACTGCTGGGGAGCTCTGACAAATGCCATGGCTGTCACAGGCTCCATTTTAATTACACCTGACTGGGTCTTTCAGGGGCTTAGGGATGAACTTAATTAGCGAGCGAGCACTCGGGCTAGTTCTGCCGTTAGTTGGTACAACTCACAGCACTTTTTACTCTGTGGCTTTTCAATGGCATTTAAATTGTCTCTGTCCATTGACTGAATAATTTATAAATGAGGGGATGGCGAATGGGCTCGGGACGGCAGGAGTCTACTTTTCAATATCAACTTGTGTTTGGTCGCTGTATAAATGGAGCCACAGATTTAACGTTCAACCTTCGAATCACACTAAATGTCCTCTGGCATTATAACACTTTATAAACTGTATGTTAATAAAGTGGAGTGTCATTTGGAAGTGCTTTCATAGTGATACACAGCCTGAACAAAGGGGTTGGATGGAGTTCTTCACAGGCCAGTCTGAGAAAATACAAATATGAAAAGGAAAAAACAAGCAGTGAAAATAAATGCTCTTGACATAATGCCTCAGGGTAACAAAGAACTATTTCCACCCAAAAGGAAACACATATAGTAATATCAGGAAGACTTGGTTCTTTTTTTATAATTTACCAGTCTTGTAAAATGGAACAAGTTTTCAGTTAAATTGAAACACAGAAGTACAGAACAGTCTTCAGGCACTAGTGTATCCGTGACAATCCAATCTCAGCTTTAGCACACTGACAACTTGAGATAATACAGGGAACCAGAGTATCCCAGTGCTCTCCCCTGCATATGACAGGGCCATAGCAATGATTAAGTGGTTGATCCATTTTAATGAACACAAAGCCATCCAAGTGGAAGATGATTTTAATTGAAATCTCCTTCTGTTTAATCACTTAACATATTCACAGCAGAGTGAAGAAAAGTCACTCTTAAGGAGATATCTGAGGTGAACATGTGTTCATCCAACAAGTAATTCATTTTTACATCACCGGACTGCTCTATACCCCAGGGAGACTTGATGTAGTTTTTGTAGTTTGCACTGTTAACTTTTGTGATATGACACAATTTAGCAACACCTCCAGTATAGAAGACTAGAAGAAGAGCACAGATTGTTGCTGTTGTTCACTTTCACACTGTTCACACCAACCACTCCACAGGAAAGTCACATTGTAAAAGGATTTCTTAAACAAAAAAGCAACATCATTTAATTACCCAGTTTGTGTGCTAAATCCTTGGAGAGTTCAGTGTTCATGGACCTGACAGCAGCTTCAGTGCAACGGCAGATTTGGTTCTTCCTCAAACTTCTGAATAAAATAAATATGATCCAGTGCGATGATATACCAAAAAACAATAATTTATTATCATTTATTTTCCAAAGATCACCATTATCACACATTTTACCCGGCTACAAATGTGCCAACTAAGCATTACTTGAAATCAGACCATTGACATTGACTTAAAACAAGTACAAGGTTCAGTTTAAAATTTCAAATGTACAATATTTCAGTTAAAAATGAGGCATTTCGAATGAGGATACTGTACATGTAACTGGACTATAAAGTCGGTTGATAAATGCCAACGCATTCATCTAACCAGTTTAGTTTTTTGAAATGAACTTAATATGCTGTGTTCTGAGTCCTGCTCAGTGGCAATCATCCTAACACATGTTTAATGTGAACTCAAACATAAGTAACGACTATATTTTATTTTCCAGGAACTAAAAACTGAATTATACATGTATTTATAAGGCTGAGTGCACAGAGATATCCAGAGACTGTTTGTGTATGAAATCAGTTTGCAACACAAACTTACCATTTTGCTGTTAAGGCTGAGTAAAGGTGTATATTGATGATGCAAAAAACGGTACGTAAAAGCTATGAGCAGGTCCATCTGTAGTTGAATAGGTAGGAAATCAAATATTTGCCAAATAAAACATTTAATACAAATTATTTTTACCCAAAGCTGCCAAACATAAAAACAAAGCTGGCAATTAGTTTGAATATGTTGGACTATGTTTGTTACTTTGCACTAAAGCCAATATTCAGTACAGTATACATAGTGCATATTCACGGTGTCCACAAAGTCTTTTTGTAGCACTGTTCATACTGTATGAAGAGTTTCACTTTAAGATGAGGTATTTCACTTTTAAATGCTTTCATGAAATTGCTGATAATAAACATATCAGCAGAAGTTATTTGAGTTTTTGGCTCAAGCCACTTTTGCTTGTATTAAAAATGTACACTGTTGAATACTCTGAAACTTTGAGTATTCATCAGACAAAAGAGCTATGGCAGTTAGCGGTGAAACACTGG